GTTGTTGTTGGAGCAAGAATAAGACAGAATAGAAAAGGATAAGCAAAATGGCTCCGCATCGGAGTTTGTCGGGGGACGGCACGATCGGATAAGAAATAATGGAGGCCTTCTCAAAATTTAAAACCTTGACTCGGAATGCTCGTCGTTTGATCAAATTCAAATGTTGATTCCACAACTTGTGGCTCCACATTTGAATCATTTGTCTAAAATCATTGTAAAATATTCTTTTAAGTATTGGAAAAACCAACAAAAGAGAACTATTAATTATACAAATGAAATAAATACATACCTCTTCTGAAAAGTATTGGTCGATAATTTCAAACGCTACCTTGTAAATATCTATGTTGCTGTGATTTTGCAGCGCCTCAATCTTATCCAAACCTACAAGAACACATTTAAGAGTATAAATAGCATTCTTTAAATTACATTACATACAAGTAATGTTAAATGTCATAAAAACCAACCTGAACATTCTTCGATCATATTGGCCAACTGTTCAACTTGTGACCCAGCAAGTTTGAGCATATTGTGTATACCATCTAAAACAACCTGTACAACTTGAGGATCTTTACAGGAAAGGAGGTTACAGAAAGGTGGGATAACGCCATCTTGTATCATCCGTGTGACTTGTTCCTCATTGCCACTAATTGTTAAATTGCTGATTGCCCATGCTGCTTCTTTTTGTGTTTGAAATTCGCCCTGTTGCAAAACAAGTACATCAATAAAGTATATTATTTCATCTAACAAATTTCGATAATTTTAACAAAAATATTTTCTTACATTCGCTAAGTTGCGAATAATAAGCGGCAATAATCCAGCATCTATAACTGCTTGAACTTGAGATTGATTACCAGCAGTTATATTTGAAAGGAACCAGACTGCTTCTTTACAAATCTTTTCCCTCGAATGAGTGAGTAAATTGGGGAAGTATGATAGCGCATCACAATTTAGTACAACTTGCGTTTGTTCATCTGTACCCGTTACAATATTACCAACTGCCCTTAAAGCAGCTGTTTGCACTTTAACTTCTTTGTGCGAGAGAAGTGGTATGAGTCGAGGCACTACACCGCTATCTATAACCATCTGAATTTGTGCATTACCACCGTCAGTCAAATAACTCAGTGCCCAAATTGTGTCCACAAGAATCTGTAATGTATATTAAATATAATGAATTATTTCAATGATTATTAGCTATTAAACATATATTACATATGTTTTTATCACTTACATTAATGTCTGTGTGATGAATGAGTACATTAAGAGCAGGCAAAAGTTCTTTAATAGTTTCAACAGATGGTGGTGGATCTTTGCTCCTACATAAATTTACGATTACCCATGTTACATTACGTAAAAAACTAATTGGTATATCCGGCTTAATAAACGCTAACAATGGCGGTACAATACCATGTTTAATAACAAGATCCCTAGCTATTGGACCATCTCCAATAATATTTCCTATGATAAAAAATATTGTCAATATGCATTTATGATATTCTTAGTTCAATCAATGAAAAATATAGATAAAATAAAATGATTGCAAAACACAGTAAAACTCAAATCCTAATGAAATTTAAGATCATAAACAATTAAAACTATCCAGTTTACTTTTACTGCATTTTCATCTTGGTATTACAGAATAAACCATTTCTTCATCTTCATACTAAAATACACACCTAAAGCCCATACAGATTGTTCACAAACATTTTGTTGACTTGAACATAACAAATTCAAAAAATGTGGAACTGCACCAGCATTTACAACTGCTTGTGTTTGAGGTGATGTTCCACTTGCAATATTTGTTAAAGCCCATGCTGCTTCAAATTGCAAAGAAGGACTGTAAAGTAAATCATATTAAAAATTTAAGAATTTGTAATAATAAATATTTCAAACATAAAACAAAAAAATTATTTACACTAACAATATAGTCTACGCAAATTTATAAATAATAGAGACTAGCCAATATATACTATTTGTTTGTATTTTGTTTTTCAAAGCAAAAGATAATTACTGAACTTTGCAGAAACATAAAATCTTATATTAAGAATATTCACTTTTGATCATACTTTTGTTCTCATAGAAATATATTATTTTAAATAGTATTATAAACTAGAATTGCATATAAATTTAATCATTATCACATACCTATTGTGCTCTTCAAGACAACGAACTAAAACTGGTAAAATCTTACTATCAATTAATAAATCAATCGGTGGATTACGATCTGACGACAGTAACCTTCTGGCTGACTGTACAGCTTGTAATTGAACCTCTGGATCTGAACTATCAGCTTTCTTTACTAGTTCCTTTAAATTGATTTTTGACAAATGTTTATCAACATCATCTTCATCTGAAAAGAAATAATGTTCTTTAGTAATTATAGTTTTTATTCATACTCTAATATCTATTTTTCTTTGTGAATCCTTTGACATAATTTACCTGTTAAATTTCTTCGTTTCTGCAAAGTCTCATCACGCTTGTTTTTGCGTAACTCTACAGTAACTTCATTTCTTCTTCTTCTCATTTCCTTAAAATTTCATAAATTAATATATTACATAATATGCAAAATATTTCTTAACTGGAAATTTATTTTTATAACAAAATTTATAATGCATTAGTATAACTGCATTTTGAAAGTTGCACAACTGTAATAACAAAATAACTAAAACAAATTTTTGATGTATAAACGAAATATGTGGTAATTTTTTAATAAATTTATGTTGTTAAACATATTTTAATTACACCAATTTATCATATAGTAAGTTTTATGGTCATTGTATCATAATAAACTAAATGTAATATCCTAATTTGAAACTATATGCAACATTCGAAAATATGTTTCTACTTTAACAGAGATCAAAAACTTTAACAAAAATATGTTAACATCTTATTGCTGTAAACTTTATAAAAATTATAAATCTATGCAAGAATTACATATTTTTTCAAAACACTCGTATGCAAATTGTCATTTGCAAATACAACAAAATAATAAACTTTACTACCTCATTAGTTTTTCATTAGTACTATATTTTTACTTGCAAAACATTCAAATGTATTCCAATAAATTTTCATCATATTTTGAACACAATACTACAATTTTCTAAAATAAATGTAACAATGTAAAATACATTTTACGAAATTGTAACATGGTTTGTGAATTTTTGAAAATCTCTAGTTACAATACAAAGATATGGAAAAGCTGGAAAACTATTAAGCTGTTGCACTATTTATATAGAACAAAACATAATGACATTGCAAAGATATTGTTAAGGCTTTTAGTAGATGATTAAAATAAAGCAACTTGGCTATATTTTTTGTAATAAATAGTTCAATGCTATCTTTGTCAGCAATATATTTGACATTATTCTAGACTGACATTTTTCACTTGTTTTAGAATACACCTATTGTAATCAAAATACAATATTACACATTTGATAAAGTTGTATCAAGAATTATTGTGGGTTCTGTGCAAACAGGTCGCACAGAAATGTCCAAAAGTTCAATCAGAACAACAAAATGTGCAAATATATTGCAAATTCGAAAACAAAATTGTGCTCAAAATAATCTTGCGTTTATATGCTTAGTACGGCATCCGAAACTTCCAGACGCACAACGTAACTGCGCACAACGACGAACACATCAAATACTCACTTCTTGATCTTTGCCTTTGTTCTTAAAAACCATCATTCGATTTTTGCTTAGCATGTCCGCCGCCATTTTTTCAATAAACCAATCCTTCGTACTCGCGTATATTGGTGTGTGCCGGCACCCGGATACCCGTGTTACTGCGAAAAATTCTGTATCCGTGTTAATGCGGTCGGTTTACTTCACAACTGCATACCGTTGCGCGACAGCCTTAATGTACGTCAATATGCAATGCAATATCATGTATAACACTCGTTCTCTTGATCACGATCGCCACACGACGTTCTCCGTAGTCACGTTTTCTCAGCACAAACGCAGCGTTTCGACCATTCCGAAAAGAATGTCGGAAATGAACAAGGTGGCGCTTCGGAAGACGTGTGTTTTCACTATGTTCACCTTCACAGACTATAAAATATGATCGACGAACAAAAAATAGCGCTAGAGATTACAATGATTTCTTATCATCTTTAAATTATATACTCATATTTTAATTTAAAGCAATTTATATTTGCAGTATTTAATGTAAATTATAATACATAATATTTTTAATTACTTTCAGAATTAATTTATTAAACTTAGTTGAATACACACAAAACTTACATATTAGTAACAAGAATTTAATATGTAGTAACGAACATTTATAGCAGAATGAATCAACTACAGTTGGTATGTGCGATTATAATTAATGTGATATACTGCATTGTATATGGATATTTTGTTGGTATGAATGTAAGAAACTTAGCTAGGGAAAATTCCTTTAATGTGCGTCAAAAGCAACTAGATAAATATCAAAATTGTATATAATAATAATAACGACCAATCAGAATTACTGCATGTCTATGTGTGTGTGTGTATATATATACAAAATTAAATTCTTGATGATTTTTCTTTTTTCTTTCTTGCATTATTATAGTGATTGCTATATAATAAATTAATAATAATAATATTGCAATGATACATGTTTTAACAATAACAGTTGTATATTTCAATTATATTAAAATACACAAAAATTTAATTAAAAAGTATAATTGTGATACAGGATGAGTCACATAACATGAGCATCTCGAATAACTTCTAAAATACGTGTTTTACAATAAAGTGTTGTATATAAAAATTGCACGGTATCAAAGGGAATATATGATGCTGAAACGATTCTTTTAAATAACCTATTTGTTTATGAGATATCAAGGTGACCTCGAATTTTTTAAACGAAATGCGTACCTTTTTATATCACAATTTAAAAGAGCAGTGAATATTTTATAAGAAAGTATGGAATTTTATTTGTCTTAAACCTAATAATTAGTGAGATACTTGCAAAAACGTTGTTTATGGTCTCACTACTTACCTTAGCTACAGTAGGTGCTCAAAGTGGTGCCTGTTGACTTCCATATATCTGTGTATTATTAAGTTTAGGACAAATAAAGCTTAATGCTTTTTTATAGAAAATTCACTGTTCTTTGAAATTTTGATATAAAAAAATACGGTATTCCATTTAAAAAATTCGAGGTCACTTTGATATCTTGTAAATGAATAGGTTATTTAAAAAAATCGTTTCAGCATCACATGCTCTCTTCGATACTGTGCAGTTTCTATATAAAACACACTTTACATGTTATTCAGGGTGGACAAATTATGTGACTTATCCTGTATATTCACTCATTGGTAATAATCTAGTTTATAATGATACTGTCATCTGTAATTAAGATGTATATTAAAATACGATTCCATTAGTTTCTTGTTTAATGTATGAAGATTAGTAATAGGTTTGGAAATAATGCACGCAGTGTCTTTTCTCCTCATATATTAATATAATAAACATTGAAAAGAAAATTAACAGAACTATCAGTTTGGATTACATGGAATAAAATTGCACACATACACCCTCGGATGGCATGACAGAATACCACACAAGAAGTAAAAAAAGAATCAGAGTAACAGGGACGCCCTCAATCTATGTGCGTTGCACATAGGAACTATCTTCAAGATTTAAATAAAATAACGATATGAGAATTTAAATTACTTTTGTATTGAAATTTTAATAAAAAATGTTAATGTTGATGTCATATTGCAACAAGTTAAACAAATTAGAAATAAAACAAAATGAGGTTCGTGTACATTTTGTTTATAAATATAACTAGATTTGTTTTACAATATACAATAATGTTCGTAAATTTACTAAAAATTTCATTATTTTTAATAATATTACAGCTTAGACGAATAATAAACGAATAATAATGTAATCAAGTAAACCTAGTTTTATATTAAGAATGTAATATTTATACCAATATAATATAATATGTAACCAAATTACATATGTATATGTAAATAAACTGTATTAAATTTAATGTATGAAAATATGAATATTAGATAACGATGCATCAATTTACATTTTGTAAAATAATTAATCAATATACTGATAATACTTTAGATTAGAATCTACTGTGCTTGGAAGTTTTTCTACCACATGAACAGTTACAATATTGTACTGTTTTCGAGAAGATTGAACTACAGCTCCGCAGTAAGCTCTAAGACTAAAATAATATCCGAATTCTACAGAGGACAGTAAAGAATATCCCAAGAAAAGGCTTGCAATACCACCGAACGATACAAGTAAATCTAAATAACCAAATCGCATTTCCCTTTTGTAAAGAGCTGTTGGCCAATTTCTTAACATAATTCGAGACACATTTTTTGATGATTTTTTTATACCTTTTATCCTATATGATGTATGATCGCAAGAAAGATAACAATTACACTGAGTCACGTCGATAATGACATTATTTAAGCAAGCGTATTTCGAAAGTGTACATTCTGTTTTATCGACGAATGATAAATACCATGGTAGACACTCACATTGTGCAAGTAGCTTATCCCTGAAACAATTTATTTCGCAATCATTTAAACTTACACCCTCTTGTTTGTAATAGCACTTTCGTTGCCCAAGGAGTAAGTAGCGAATGTCTGATGTTGCATATGTTATTTCAGCACTAAATTCAATATCAACAGGAAAGTACGTTTTTATTGCAGGTCTCTCGCCAGGTGTTGGACCTGAATAACTATATTGAGTAATATAAAGCCTGCAATTAAAATCATTTTAAGTTTATAAATATTTCAACAAAATTATGGATATACCTACTATAAACTGTGATAATAGAATACATGTATATAAGGACAATAATATTTAATATGTATAATTATAAATATAATAGAAATACATACTATATATTTAGGTAGTGTCTTTGATTAAAAGATATGTATGTGTATATACTGTTACGGACAGATATTGGACTTATGATTTAATTTTCTATAATTTTGAATTATTTAGGAACAATAAATATGGTAACATTAATAATGACTGTATTGATAAATACATAATTATTAATAATCATCGATTATTAAAATTACTACTTATGTATAAAAAAATTTATCACATCTGATGAATATTTAAAAAGAATATGATAATTATATAAACTTTCTCTTGTATAAAGAAATCAGTTCTAAATTATCATAATAGTGTGGTAATTTGAATTCTGTCGTGTAACGATCATTTAGCAATTAGTTTATTGTTTATGTGAAATTTTAGTTAGTACAACCTTATATTAAAAAGTTAGTATGTAAGTACAGTATCTACTTACTTGCAAAGTATTAAATAATAGCTATACTTTTAATTGCGTGCTTACAAAATTACAATTATAAATAGCTCTTAATTGTTACAAATGGTTATTAATTCAAACTACATACAGGGTGGACCACCTAACGTGACCACCCCAATTATTTTCGTTATTAGTGGACCGACCAAAATTTCTTTTGTCACAGATGATACGATTTCAAAGGATCTTCAAGGTGATGACCTTAGACTTTATCTGTCTCTTTTTAAAATAAGTTTTCAAGGTACTTGCTACTTGCTAGCAGGCATTAAGACGAATTCAACGACCACAATATAATACACTTTTTTGTATACAAAATTTGTACGTAAAAACATTAAACGTAACCTGGTTTCTTTTGAAACCGTATCCTCTATGACCAAAGAAATTTGGAGCGGTCTACTAATAATGAAAATAATTCAGGTGGTCACGTTAGGTGGACCACCCTGTATACACATAATAGTGTCAAATATTATAATAATTTTCAAAATGTTGTAGTCCTTTATGTATCTTTAATTAATAGCTTTTTCTAGTAAAATAATTGATTACAATGTTTTAAAAATATTGATTTTAACGCACTGAATATTTCTAAATATGTATGATAATATTACCTTAAGGGAAAATTTGAATTTGCAATCTTAAACTCAAGATTCCACGAAGCATCCATAATTTGAAGTGGTTCTAAGCTTTTCGACCTACAGCATGCACCCACAGGTGTAAGCCGTTTTGTAAATATTTGACCACATGATATGTTTATTCCCCTAAAAGAGTTATGATTATGATGTGCAAGTATTTTTTTAAATAATTCCGGAAATGCTATTTAGTTACAAATTGTTCAATAAAAAATGCACGCAAGAACTTCTTTAATACTGTAGTTTTCTTTTTTATAATTAAAATCATCATTTACTTTTTACAAAAATTGTTTATATTGTTAGTCTCACCTGCAACACATTCAAATTCAATTAAACTATACTATGACAGTATACACATTTATATTAAATGACTGTATAGTAAGATATTATTTCAATTTAGTTTTCGTAAATAGTGAAATATACTATATTTACCTGTACATGCAATCTTTGATAAAATAATCACAATCAGGTGCCATCATTGGCAAAATTCTACGAAAATCGTTCTTGCTTGCGTAAATCATATTAGACCATGTTAAGTTAATATTTTTTCCTAAAGTCCAATTGTACAATTGTTCGTACATATGTATTTCATCCTATAAAGCAAAATCGGTAAAGGTTGCGTGTATACTAATACAATCGACAGTTATTGCAATAAATTATAAAGGTTCTAATTAATTTTACACTTTTACCATTAACGTCAAATATTTTTGGTAATGAATATCAATTTTACCGTGTCAGAATAACATTTGAAAGCATACCTACCTCACGTATATACGAATGATTCAGGTGAAACCAGTCGAAGCAAATAAACGTTTGAGGGAATTCAATATCTATATGCTCTGTCGTTACATCCAATCCTGTTATAGTTGGCTCTGTTTGAAATTTATTCAAAAAGGTTTCGATTATAGCAATGATTGCTACTATCGAAAGTACTGTTAAAAGAAACCACGTAATTCTGTGAAAAAGCCAGTTATACATTAGCTAATAATATCCACTTTTCGAATATGTAGAATCGTCAAATATTTATTGAATATTATTCAAATTTAGAATGAGAAACTAATGATTAGTTCCATTTATTAATGGTTCTATGTATTTTAACAAATAAAATAAGAATAATTTAGGTATTTGCACATTATAGAAAGTGTACATGTCACTTGTTAAAATTTAAGATATTTCCACATTTTGTGAAGTACATATGTTAAGAAAAAGTACTTATCGTATACTCGTTTGTAATTAATACCGAAATATTTTTCACATAGAAGCTATATTCTCATTTAAAAAGGCCTTGTTTTTTTGTAATATTTAAGATTTGTGATTAAAAGGAGTTATAAAAAGGTACTTCGAATTTTGTTAAAATTCTTACGTTTGAAACAGATTACAAAAGATCTTCAGGATACAAAAAAATGTCTTCATGATTCTCGCGACTGAAAAATGTTCGTTTATGTGGAAAAGAGAAAAATATCCATTTTCTTATGAATTTTTTCACCCTCAAAGACAATGGAAAAAGCTATTGTAAACCAGACAGTATCGTAAAGAATGTACGTATGCAGAATTATATTCCACCACAGATATTTGAATTTCTCTTATGATGTTTTACGAATGAAAGAAAAATGAAAATCTCCCTTAAAACACTGCATACTACGAAAGAAAATGACGTGATATATCCACAGGATTTTGCTTTACACAATGTATATGCTGAAAAATCATTTGACGCTAACTTATTTACCACTCGTATTAATCGCACCACAAGTAACTGCTAAGTTATAATATTACCTTTCCCATTTGGGCCGTGTCGAGTCCACAAAATATGGGACGCCGTGTAAACTATTCTCTAAGAAATATTCTCTTGATCGGGACTTCAAACTAGAGCGCAAATCTCTCCACAACGGTTTATACTTGTACTTCATATTGAAAAATGTCGAATAAAATATCCTTTCGCTGTTGTGCTTTCACTAAATAGGTTAAATATACTAAGCAAAGAAATCAAACCAGTCGCGCTTTTGAATCGCGTGTCAAGTTAAAGCATATATTATGCATATTATACATACATATAACTAATTTATCAGCTTTATCAATGAAAGAGAAAACACTTGATTGTAGATATGGATTATGAATAGTGCTATGAAGTAAATCGGTGCTATTTAAACGTCCATTTACAATCAAACATTTAATTATTTGAAACAGAAGGAAATATGAAGGAAGCAATACAACTTCTTCATA